ATCTTGTACAGCAGTTAACCACTAAGAAGAATATATGCAGTGTATTATTTGTTGAAAAATATAAATAAATAAATAAATAAATAAAAATAAATTTAAAAAAAACACAAGCACCCCAAAAATATCATATGCAGTTGCCTTCAGGTTATGTGTGTGAGTGTACAGGAATTTGATGGCTTGCTGACCATGCCTTCAAGAGTGAGATAACTGGGTCTTTTCGGATGGAAACACCAGGATCACTTGAGCGCCTGTCCCATGTGACTGAGAGTCAAGGACAATAAGAACTGAACTGCAAGCCACACTCCTGCTCCAGTCACTGGCCACACCACCGGGAAAGATCTGAGCAGCATGGCAGAGGCTTTGAGAACCACGGCCTGTCGAATGGATAATGGAGTTTGTGGCCTGATGTCACCAAGTTGACATCTTGCTAAGATTAAGTGAAACCTAGCATTTTGTAACATAACATCCAAAATATAATCCCAAATTATGTGGCATTCAGAACAACAAGCTCCAGTGGCGCAATCGGTTAGCAACAAAAAAAAACTCACGTGTGAGAAAAGCGTATCAAAGACATTCGCACATAATTTACATATTCTGCATCACAGAACAGTGGTAGTTTTGCTTCTTTCTTTCCAACTGTGAGTTGCTTTTTTATTACCCAGATAAAATAACCAACATCCACAACCTAAAGGAGATTTATTTGGATCCCAGTTTCCAGTGCGTTCAGACCATGGCAGGAAGGCTAGACGGCAGAAACATCATGGTGGAAGAGCTTGGTGGATGAAGAAGGCTCGACTCGTGGGAGGCAGTAAGCAGAGAGAAAAGGGAGGAGCCAGGGACAAGGTCATACTTTCTGCTCACACAAGGACACAACTCCAACCGAACACCCCTCCTAAGAGCTGCTGTAGCCATCAATTCACCAATGGATTAATCCACAGAAGAGCACACTGCCCCCAAGAGCCGCCTCTGAGTATCAGAGTCTTCGGGCAGGCATTGGAAAGCTAAACTATACAAACACTTGTACGCAAGTGTACACAGTTGACAAAGATTTTAGAATGACGGAACAAATACTTTAGTTATGTCATAGTACATACAGCATTATGAAAGTACTCTAAGCAGTAGCCCTGTCCTCAGAAATTGTACGTTAACATAAGCAAAAGTTTAGCAAAAATGTGAGCCAGAAGTATAAGAGAAAGAGAACACAAGTGTGGCCACGTGCAAGGCTTTCTGCTGAACTTTTCTGCAGCTTCAAGTTCAAAATTTTTCAACTCTATCGATTCCACTAATACACATAACACGGATGAATCTCAGAAGTGTTGTGTTATGCTAAACCCAAGAATCCAGACACAGGGCCAGCCAGATAGTTCAGCGAACTAAAGCGCCTGCTTAGGCTGGTTCAATCCCCGGCGCGCTGTGCTGGCCCCAACCCTGGGGCATACTGAGACATCAACCGAGACTAGGCATGGTGGCGCACTCCTGTAATCCCAGCGCTTGGGAGGCTGAAAACAGCAGGATCACTACGAGTTCAATCTGTGTGGTAAGACCCTGTAGACCCTGTGCTACATACATTAAAAATAAAGACTCCAGACATAAAAGATGATGTACATTGCTTTCACAGGGAATTATGAAAAAGATAAAACTATAATAGTAGAAAGAGAATCAGTGGTTGCCAGGGCCTAGAGGTAAGGCAGAGAGTGCCTGCAAAGGTTTCGGGCACTTGTGGGGATGCCAGACGTGCTGAGTCATGACCGTAGTGCTAATTATGCTAGTGCATGTGTATGTCAAAACCAAGTGAAGACACTGCACATCGTGAATCTTATTACAGATCATTTTTTATAGTAGGTTAAATTGTATTTTCCCAAAGAGACATGTGCAAGTTTGAACCTCCAGTACCTGAGAATAGAAATTTGATCTCTGAAGGTATAAGTAAAAATTAAGGCTTTTAATATTAATGCCCTGACGTATGGCATTACAAGCAGTTACAGAGGGTGATTTAAGATCCAGGGGAGACCCAGAAAAAAAGGCTGTGTTCAGAGAGAGGCAAAGAATGGCAGGATACTGCTGTGAGCAAAGCAGACCGAAGCTTACCTACAACTACCACACTCTAAACGAACAGATTCTCCCTTAGCACATCCGAAAGGCAGCAGGGCACAGCAGTGCATGGCTGTTTTCCTATACTTGGGTGGATGGGCCAGAAGAGTTGTAAGTTGAACCCAAGCCTGAGCTAGTAGCTAAGACCCTATTTCAAAACAAAAAGAGATGAGGCTGCAGCGGGGAGTGTAGCCTGGTGTAAAGGGTCCAAGTTCAATCCCTAGCACTGCAAAATCAAACAAATAAAACAGAACAAAAAGTATCCAAAAGGAAACAATTTCCAGGTGTGGAAGCACATGACTATAATCTCAGTTCTGTAGGAGGCTAAGGCAGGAGGCTTGCAAATTCAAGTTCCACCAGGGCAACTCAGAGAAGCCCTGTCACACAAAAAAATTTTAAATAATAAAAAAAGACAGGCAGGTATCTCAGTGCAAATTTCTTCAGTTCCCCCTCAGTACTTAGAGAAAAAGAAAATAATCCTGTTGGACACCTTGATTTCACTT